GTGTAACACCCCCACTGCTGTTTTATTGCTGTTATGAGGGAAAACAAACTGTTCTTTCAGAGCAAATAATCCATTCCTTAAAGCATCCCAAGCCCTTAATCTGGGAACAGACCTTTCACACACACTCCTTAACCATCCTGGATGAATCAATCCTCATTAGGACATCAGGCTGCATAAATATTTGGCTGGTGAGGGAGCCCCAAGGGAGAGCAGAGGGATGGGGAGTGCTGCAGTTGGAAATTCAATGAAGTTCCCTTGGGCAGCAGGAGCCAGGCCTGGGAGAGTTGGGTCAAGCCTTCAGCCGGTGCCACTTGTCCCCTTGGGCAAGTCCTGCGGAGCAGGGTTAATTTTGCTGACCTGGTTTTTTGCCCGTGGAAGTGGCGAGGTGCAGGTGGAAAAGGAGGAGGTGAAATCCTGCCGCGCTCGGCAGATCCTTCCCCAAGCCGCAACACAACTCGGTCCCAAACAATTTCTTTGCCACCGAGGAAGGAGCTGGAATTTCTCTCTGGCGAGGCAGCAGCAGCAGAATTGCGAAGCCGGTGCCTGTTATAGAAACTTTTTAGTACTGGGGACAAGCCAAGAAAAAAACCCAGATTGATCTCAAATCTCAGCTGGTGCTGGCGGCGCTTCCACCTCCGACTCCTGCGCTGGTGGGACGTGAGCTGGACCCTCCAAGCATCCCTGTGGAGAGAGCTGGGATGTTTCCCAATGTTCTGGGTACTCTTCCCAGCTCCCTGCCCAGACAGCTCCTGCCCTGCTCTGGAAGGTGGTTTTGGGGTAGATTGAGGTTTTTTGGTTTATAATTGCATAAACCCAGCTCTTCACTGGCTCCATCCCCAGTCCCATCTCCACACCAGTGGGACCAGCCTGGATCATCTCATGCCATCAAAATCCTTCACAGCAGGATAATCCAGGCTGGGGCAAAGCCAGGCTGCAGCTCCCAGGGAGGTGAAAGGTTTTTTGGCTCAGACACCATCACAACCTGTCTGTGATTTCTGTGATTTCCTTCAGCACCCAGGGAAATTCCTTAGGAGCTGTCAAGGATGTGGTGGCAATGGGGCAGCTGGAAATTTCACCTCATCCCTCGAGTGGCAAGGGGCTGGTGCAGGGACCATCCTGTGCTCTGGGTGTGCACAGCTCTGAGGGCTGGCTGAGCTGGGAGCATCCAGACTGGATCCATCCAAACCTGCTCATTCCCATGTTGGGAAGCGGGCGCTGGGCTGGGCCTGGCTGGGGCTTGGCCTGGTTTTGGGATGGAATTCCTACGGCAAAGCTTGGGCACCATCCATCTCCCCTTCACAGAATAAAGCACATTTTAATCCATTTTTCCTCCATGCCCTGGATAAACGGATGCCAACGGGATGGACACACCAACACGGCCACCCCTGGGCTCACCCAGCTCCATGCCCAGCCCGAGCCGGGTATCCCTGGCAGGGCAGAGCTCCGGGGCCGCCCCGGCGCTGCCGAAAATGCCGGAGCGCTGCATGTGTGCTGCTTCCATGTGCGCTGGTTTCCAAGGAAACCGCTCGCTCTACATGTGTGTCGCTTAACACCCTATTTGCTTTCATTTGGATAAGTCTTTAATTCCTGTGCAGCCCCGGCTCCGCGGGATCTGTTGAGCTCCATGTGTATCCTCAGCGCACAAAATCCCTCTCCTGCCTGCCTGCCTCTTGGAAAAGTCGCTGCCTGCTCGGAGCGAGTTTCCTAAACCTGTGCCTAATTGGAGCAGCTAATGCTTTCTGCAGGAATAACTGGATATTTCACTGCTGCCTCCCCTCTAGAAACAATTAGCAGGGAAAACACGGAATGCAGGGCTCTTGTCACCTGCCACCAGCTCTGCTGCTCCGACTCCGTGTCGGGGGGAGGAGCAGGGCAAGGACGCCCCTTCCCTGGGGTATGGGGGCAAAGCTGGGCTGTGCAGATGTGGGTTTGGGTCCTTGGGAAGGCAGCAGCTCCTGTCAATGGTTAAATGTAGATTTTAAAATGACCTGGAGTGAGGAAGCAGGGAAGGGTGACCGGGGAAGGGTGACTCAGTTGGTGTCACACATCAGCCTGGAGAAGGGAAGGATCCAGGGAGAGCTCAGAGCCCCTTCCTGGGCCTGAAGGGGCTCCAGGAGAGATGGAGAGGGGCTGGGGACAAGGGATGGAGGGACAGGACACAGGGAATGGCATCCACTGCCAAAGAGATGGGATATTGGGAAGGAATTCCTGGCTAGGAGGAAGGGGAGAGACTGGGATGGAGTTCCCAGAGAAGCTGTGGCTGCCCCTGGATCCCTGGCAGTGCCCAAGTTAAGCTTGGAGTAACCTGGGACAGTGGAAGGTGTCCCTGCCCAGGGGATGGAACTGGATGGAATTTAAGGTCTCTTCCCAGCCCAAGCATTCCATGATCCCACGACACCGATAGGACACACTGGGTCCTGCACTCCATCAGCTCCTCCATGGCTTGGGCCAAGCAGGAATGAGCGACAAAGATTCGGCGGTGGTTTTCTCCCCCAAATTTTCATCTGCAGCATCCCAAAGTGGCTTTTTCTTCCCTCTCCCCCTTCCTCCCTTCCCTTTGCATAGCGAGATGCCTCCTGTTCTTGTGCACTGGAGGAATTTTCTGATCTAAAGCCACTTTCCTCCTCTCCCAAAATCCCTGGGGCTGGCTCGTGCTTGTAAAGCTGAGCAGCTCCCGTGTCACTCGGGGCTGGCTCCCGTCTGCAGCCCTGACAGCAGCTAATGCTGTTAGCCTGTGTCGAGGAGGGATTTCAGCATCAAAAACCCCCAAAATCACCACACTCGGGCTGCTCTGCTGCTTGCAAGCAGTTCAAAAACATCCCCCCCCCGTGTTTGGGGTGCCTGGCATGGCCCGGGGACATCACACAGGGGTTTTGGGGTGGCTTTGGGGGCTGCTGCAGCCTCGGGAGCGCTGCAGGATGAGCAGCCTGGATTAACTCGGCTCGGGGAGGGCTTTGCTATCTTTAGGTGGAAGGTGAGGGATTGTGGCTCTTAGAGTGGCCGGCAGGTGAGGAGAGAGAAAAATCCCCCGGGGCCAGCGCGGCTCAGGGCGCTGACCCCGGCTCCTGTCCCCACCGGGGTCTGGCCCTGCCGGCCCCCGGCCGCGTGCGCTGTCACCTTTCTAGGCCACAATCTGTCCCCAATTCCAAGCCTGCTGTTAGCTTCACTTGCACTCTATTCTCGTGTTTGCTGTTATTTTTTAACACTTTTTTTTTTCTCCTTATTTTTTCTTTTTTTTTTTTTTTTAATAATTTTTTTCTGTGCATAAAAACACTATCCTCTCCCCAGAGCCTGCCTGGAGCGAAGGCATGGTCTGTACAACTGCAATTATTTCGAAGAACAGATGGAGTGAGGAGCAGAAAGTCTGTTAATAGTAATAGAAATGCTACATGTTAACCTGGACAGCACACGATGACAGTCCCATGACTACACGTTCTGTTCCCACCAGCTGGGCTCCGAGCGGAGCCGAGAGATTCAGAAACGCCGAGCTCGGCTCCGCACCCTCCCCAAAGTTAGAGCTCAAATTCCTTCACACTTCCAGCGTAGGGTTTTTGGGTTGTCGGCTTCTTCTCCCCCTCCCCTCCTCCTCCTTCCTATTAAGTGCTGATTTCGGCTCTGTTAAGGAATTTTGCTGCTTCTTCCCGGTTTTGGTTTTTTTTTTTTTTTCCCTCAGCCGGCTGCAGCTGGGAGCGTGGTGGGGATGGTGGTGGCGGCTCAGCCTCGAGGTCCTGACCTTCAGCCTCACGTGGTGACAGCAGCACGGCCCCTTTCCCACGCTCACATCTGCAGGCTTGGTGTAATTCCCCCACCCCGGATGACGCCAGGCTGGGATTTACGGAGCGGGGCGGCAGAGCTCCCGGGCGGGGCGGTTTGAGGGAGTTTGGGATTTTCTCTGCAACTGTTGCAAGCTAAATGGGTTGAAATCCGCGTTTTCTGGTTAAAAGTGGTGCTCCCTGTGGAGGTGGGGTGTTCAAGAGGTTTTATGAAACGTGTGGGATGCCAAGGGAGGGGGGTTGGGGCAACACCACGGGGGGGTTTTTGCCTCTTTACCCCGAGCAGAGGTTGGGAAACGGAGCAAAAATATTGAGTCAGCCCCAGGAACCTCGCTGTGCAAATCCCTGCCTGGTTTCACAGGGCAGGGGATGCAGCCACAGAGCTCCAGCGAATTCCAGCAGGAATTGCAGGGCTAAATCCCAGGGCTGGTTGTGACAGCCCAGCCCCCGGGGCGGCTGGAGGAGCGTGGCACCGCTGGCGCCCTGACAGACGCACCTGGAGCTTTCATTCGGATATAGATCCCTTAATCTGCGTGCTTGAGGGATAATCTAGTGCCCGAGGTCCTGCCAAATCCCTGGAGATCAGCAGGTTTTCCCTCCAGAGGTCATTTCCAACTCAGCTCCATCCTCAGCGGACCAAAATATCCACGTGGGCTCCGTGCTGGTGGCACCTTTGGGTGCTGGGTACCCTCAGTGGGGGCCTGGGGGGGCTGTGAGGGTTTCCTGGGGGCTAAATCAGTGTTATCCATAAATCCCAGCTCTCTTTGCCCAATTCCATCACCCAGGAGTGGTCCCTGGCCCCCAGGTGCTGCTTATTGCAGCATCCCGGGAACATCTTTTGGTTATTTGTGGATGTTTGGGGTAGAGTTTGGCTCCCTACAGCCACCCCCATGGAGCATGGGGCATCCAGCTTGTCCCCAACCAAGTCTGGATCCCAAAAATACCAGAGTGGCTGCAGTCCTGTGCCTCAGTGGGACATGGTGAGAAGCTGAGGGAATTCTCCTTGGTGCCTTTTCTTTGGAGGAGGCAGAACCCACATTTGTTCTCTGGAAATATTTAGGATTAAATCATCCCTAGCGAGTTTGTGGCCTCCCTGGTGCCCATTCCTCACTCACCTCAGGGGTGACACCACCAGAGTGCTCCTGCTGGGAAAGAGTGGAAAAATGTGGATTTGGGGGTTTTTACTGTCACCCCATGGCCACAGCATCCCCCTGTCCTCTCTTGCAGAACAAGAAATACGTCCTGGTGATGGTGGACCCCGACTCTCCCAACAGAGCCAAGCCCCGGCACCGCTTCTGGAGGCACTGGCTGGTCACTGACATCCTGGTGAGTCCATGGGGCCGTCCCCGAGCATCCAGGGAGGGCTGGAATCCCACGGGATGCAAACTCCTCCTGGAGAAACCCCGGAGGGAGGACGAGTGTTTGCCAGAAAATGTAAATGGTGCTGGGCGTGTAGGTAGGGAAGTGCTTCCTCAGGCTATAAAGAGCCAGGCTGGTCCAAAAATATTGCTGCTTGGGTTTTGGATTTTTTTTTTTTTTCCTCTCCTTCTCCTAAGGAAATGCTGGAAAAAAACCCCAAAAGCCACTTTGCCAACTCCCCACCACCGGTTTTCTCTGTGGAGACAACGCGTCCTTCCAAACAGCTCCTGCTGCTGGTTGGGTTTTGGGCTTTAAAAAGTGGGTTTGGTGAAAATCTCAATCAATTTTCTAGTTTTTAATTATTTTATTAAAAATGGTTTGAATTCAGTGAGAAAAGAAGGGGGAAAATGAGTTTGGGATGAATTGTGGCGCTTCCCAGCACTGTGTCCATGGGATGAGTCCTTCCCCCTGTCCCGGTGTGTCGTGGCTTTGCTCCCAGAAATATTTTGGAAAAGCAGTTTTTTCCCTTCCTGCTTGTTTTTATGTCTTCAAAAAATGAGATGTTGCAGCCCTAAATCAATCTAACTGATAATCTGGGTACTAAAGCCTAATTAAGATATCAATTAATTTGCAGCGTGCATTTAACAAGAAATATCGCGTCGTTCTCCTCTATTATTCTCTGAAATTACTGCTGAGGGCTCTTTGTACGGATACCTTAATTAGACTTTTTATTGTTAATGGGCATATTAAGCAAATTAAAACAGGATATTAATACTTTCCCTGAATTCCATAATTGGCTGAAAAATAGGAAGCATCGGGAATAATTGCAGGAATTTGTGTACAGAGCTTGGGGCTTTTTTTTCGTGTTGTTTTGTGTTTTTATCCTTCACAGAAACCCTTCTGCATTTCTAACAACAGGGTCCTGAAAGTCTCTCATTAATTTTAATATTTACCAAACGCAAAGGAGCCCAAGCTCCTGTGTTTCCTTCTGTACACAGATCCTTCGGAGCCGTTCCCTCTCGCTAATTATTGTGGTTTTCCTTTTTTTTTATTTTTGGAGTGTAAAATCCTTTAAGCAAAGAAGGGAAATATGGGATTCAAACCCCCGGCGCAAATGGAAGGTGGGATTTTTTCCCCTGGCGTTTGGGTGATGCCATTTGTGAACTCTAAGGTCAAAAATCCTGTGTTAGGCCATGAAAGAGGGTGGGAAAAAGGAGATTTTTGGGAGAGAAAAGGGTTTTCCCCACCTGCCAGGGATGGGGCAGAGCCCGTCCCTTAAGCTTCAATTCCTTAAGCTTTCTTATCACGAGATAAATACATTTATAAATATAAACACACATATCTGAGCAGGGATTTGGCCTCGGTGCTCTTGATGGTCCCTTCCAATGTGAGATATTCACTGATTCCATGCAATATTCTATATAAAACCTATATATTGATATGATCCCTATAATGATGGGATAAATATATCCCCTCTGTCTCCCGTGGGTGTGTGTATATGTATCTCTCCTCTACACACACAGAAACGCGTATAAATCCCCCAAATCCCACAAATGCCCAATAAACCACCAAGAAATCATCCCCATCCAGGGAGGACACTGGAACCAAACCCCCTCAGCTCGGTCCCCGCGGCTGGGGGTGCACTGGGGGGGTCCTGGCGTGCCTGGGAGGAGTTTTCCCGATCCCCCAGCCCCAAATCCGGGTGCGGAGCCGGCGGGCTCAGCCACATGGTGTCTCGTTGAGATGCAGATCCTCGGGGGGATATGGAAGTCTTGGCTCCGAGGAGCTTCAGCTGACAGCCTTATTTGCACACTGGCTCTAAAATAACCGTGTAGGCTTTACATGACACCTTCTGTTGCTTTGGTGCAGAGAGGGGCTTGCAAGTGCCTTTCTCCGGGAGGGGCGGGACGGCCGGGGCCGTGCCGGGGGGCTGGCGGAGCCCCCGCGCCCGCCGGTGCCCCGGTGTCACCCCAGCGTCGCCCAGTGTCACCTCAGCACCGAGCCAGCGTCGCCCCAGTATCACCCAGTGTCACCCCAGTATTGCCCTGCAGTGCTTGGTATCACCCCAGTATCACCCAGTGTCACCCCAGTATCACCCAGCAGTGTTTGCTATCACCCCAGTATCACCCAGTGTCACTCCAGTATCACCCAGTGTCACCCCAGTATCACCCAGCAGTGCTTATCGCCCAGCATCACCCCACCAGTGTCACTCCAGTATCACCCAGTGTCACCCCAGTATTGCCCAGCATTGCCCAGCAGTGCTTGGGTACTGCCCCAGTAGCACTCAGTATCACTCCAGTATCACCCAGCAGTGCTTAGTACCACCCCAGTATCAGCCAGTGTCACCCCAGTATCACCCAGTGTCACTCCAGTGTCACCCAGCAGTGCTTGGTACCACCCCAGTATCACCCAGTGTCACTCCAGTATCATCCAGCAGTGTTTGGTATCACCCCAGTATCACCCAGTGTCACCCCAGTATCACCCAGCAGTGCTTGGTATCACCCCAGTATCACCCAGTGTCACCCCAGTATCACCCATCAGTGCTTAGTACCACCCCAGTATCACCCAGTGTCACCCCAGTATCACCCAGTGTCACTCCAGTATCATCCAGCAGTGTTTGGTATCACCCCAGTATCACCCAGTGTCACCCCAGTATCACCCAGCAGTGCTTGGTATCACCCCAGTATTGCCCAGTATCACCCCAGTATCACCCAGCAGTGCTTAGTACCACCCCAGTATCACCCAGTATCACCCAGCATTGCCCAGCATCACTCCAGTGTCTCCCAGCAGTGCTTGGTATCACCCCAGTATCGCCCAGCATCACCCCAGTATCACCCAGTATCGCCCAGCATCACACCAGTATCACTCAGCAGTGCTTGGTACCACCCCAGTATCACCCAGCATCATCCTGGTATTGCCGAGCATCACCTGCCTATTGCCCTGGCTTTGCCCCAGCATCCCCCAGGAATCACTTGGGTGTCACCCTGGCATCCCCTCATCATCCTATGGCTGTCACTCTGGCATCCCCCCAGCATTCCTTGGGTACCACCCCAGCATCTCTTGTGTATCACCCTGGCATCCCTTGGGTATCATCCCAGCATCCCTTGGGTACCACTCCAGCATCTCTTGGGTACCACCCTGACATCCCTTGGGCACCACCCTGACATCCCTTGGGTATCAGCCCAGCATCCCTTGGGTACCACCCCGGCCTCCCCCCGGCATCACTTGTGTATCACCCTGGCATCCCTGCGGCATCCCCCAGGCTCTGCCATCCCCCAGTTTGGAGGGAAGCAGCTCCAGCAGCACTAAATGCCACTCCTGGGTGCTGCAGTACTTTGGCACGCCACCAGCTTTGGGGTTTGGCTGGGGATTTGCTCTCCCAGGTGGGTTTTCGGGATGGAACCGTCCCATCCCCTCGGCGCCGCTCGCCGTTCCTTATCAGCCGCTGCTCCGTCGCTGCTCCGATTGTCAAACACGAGAGATGCTTTCACTCCTATTCAAAATAATTTAAATAAAAATGTTGCTACAAAGTGGAATAATATCTTTTGATGAATGTTTTTAAAGCCCTTTAGGTTTTCATGGTAATTTGCAGTGTAAAATTATTTAGAGATAAGAGCCAAATTAGCTCTTATAGGCGGAGGTCGATATGTCCCGTTATCCATGGAAGCAGTGTTTAAATATAATCAGCCTTTACTCTAATGCAGCATAATTGTTCATTTGAAATAGCTTTTTTTTTTTCTCTTTTTTTTTTTTTTTTTTTTTTTTTACTCCATTCAATGAGTCATTAAAATATTCAAAGGATAATGCAGTGAATTGGAAATGAATTTATCACATTATCCTGTACATACTGTAGAGCATCAGGTAACCAGGCAGACTCGGAACCGGTTTACAGCGAATCCCCGGTAAACAAGGTTTTCCATTTTGTATTCAGTGGGGAAAGAAAAAGAAGGGAGAAAATACTGCCCTTCAAATGGAAAGCTTTCCGTCTTTATTCCCCCTCCTCGGGGAGGAGGAAGGGGGAGGGCGAGAGCAGCGAATTTGTACTCCACTAAAGCCTCGCCGCTTTAACTTTATTTTTATCAAAATATGTTTGTAACAGAAAGTCGTTATGGAAACGGGTTCTGCCAGCCGGGAGAAATCCTGCGCCAGGATGGAACCGAGCGGGACCCGCCGGGCTCTGCTGCCACCAGCACCGCTTGGATCAGCCCCGAACCCCTTCCCAGGGCAGGGCGCTGGGGAAACTGAGGCACGGAGCTGCCACAGGCAACTCTGGGGTGGGATGGGGGAAGTGGATCCAATGTTTCTGATGAGAGCCGTTCCCACCCGTGGCTCAGCCCGGCCTTCCCCGCACTGTGGGTGCAGCTCCCGCTGCTCCAGCCCCTCCCGTGGCTTTGTAGGGCAGAGTGGGGATCCCAGGGATGGGCACTGGCGCGTTTGGGATGGTGGCACCGCTGTCCCCAGAGGCGCTGGCAGCACCGCTGGCCTTCCCCGCGGTGTCTGCCCCGGCGGCGGCCGCGCTTGTCACCGCGCGCGGCGTCGCCGTTGATAAACAGGCTCCGGGTTGCAAGTGTCACCATAGAAACAGGTGCTGTCTTAAGCAAACAAGGGCTTTATTAACCTTAAAAATTATGGGGTTTTTGCACCAGGGAAGGATGGAAACGGAGCTGCAGGGCGCAGGCTGCCCGCCTGTGCCCATGGCCCTGTCCCCTGGCTCTGTCCCCATCCCAAAGGGATGTGTGTTCTGTGGGAAACTTTTCCTCTGTGGCACATGGAACTCAGCTCCAGCTTCTCCAGAATGCTGGATTTATCAAAAATCAGAGAGATCAGCTGTTAATTGCTGGCTGCTGTCGTTCCAGCTCCTCGGCCGCTGGGTGAAGAGTTGTAGGGACAGCTTGGGGACATTTTTGCCGAGCACTCGTGATCCAGGTGCATTCACCATCCCAGCAGGAGAAAAAGGCCAGGGCAAG